CTCATACCCTAGTTGTCAAGTGCCTGCAGGTGCAAGGCAGTAATTAGAAGGTAGAAGGCTTGTATATGAAGAAAATACCTCCCTTGACCACCTAATGGTATACCTATGGGGTGTCTGCACAGGAGGTGTCATAGCTGTTTATCAAATAAAATGATGGACACCGGCAAGATTGAATCGGCAATCGGAAATCGAACCGTGCCCATCCTGCATACCGTAAAGGGCACTCTCCCACTTTGATCTAACATAGACTTGCAATGTAGATGCAGAATGTTGATTCTTACAGAGACGGTGTCGGCGCTGCGATAGCGATAGGGAAAATTAATGCAGGGGCTGTGCTGATGTCGACAGATTCATCCGAAGGTCTGTTTTGCCCTCTCTCTCTACCGATTAAAGCCCTATTCCTGCGGGGAGATGCATGATATAGGTACCTAGTATACATAGATGTGATATGGAATCATTCTGTGATCTGAGCCCAATATTTTTTTTTGCCTCGAGAGATTTTTCTTCCAAAATGAATAATGTGACGCCTAAAACGTCATAGAATTGGGTGTGTTATGCGGGACCAAAGAATCACATCAAACAGTGATCAAACATGTTCATAAGGCATTAAGAAGGCAGGGGTGCCCAAAATAAAAATTGTGTCCGGGACACTCTGTGTTAGATGAGAAACCGGAACAGTCTCTCACCAAAGGTCAGGCAAAAACGTCGACGGTTGAAGCAGGACGCTGGACTGATGACGGCCGGACATCAAAACCTTTGCATTGCTTGTCACCATAACCGGAGGCAGCGAGCGAACCTGGAAATTGCAGAAGCGCAATTTCAAAACGATAGGGGATTGGAGCATGTGAAGGAGACAGAGCCCGGAATGGGCCATGAGAATCTTGGCTCGTGAAATCTGTCACGATCTTAAAAAGGAGAGCCTCTTCCCTTTTTCGGCCTCTCTCGTTCTCACCTCCACACACCCGTTCTCTTCTTGACCGGCGGAAGCCACACCACATATATGTGTATAATGTGTATAAAAAACCATACCCCCGCCACAAATAAAAGTTATACTTTTACACCGCCCCAACCCTTCCTCGCATCTCTACCCTTCCTCCAGTGGCCACACTTCTGCCTGATCCCCTCCGTTCGCACACCAGACCAGCATATCATCTCTTTGTGGCGGGCCGGCCTACCCCTTATCAGAAGATCAATCGTCCTTCTTCTTATCCGCCCCCGGGCTCCCAGTGCTCAGCCTCTTCCCCGACGGAGGCGGCGGGATATTGAACCCTTGTCCCGGGCTGGGTGTGGGCGGGAAGATGCCGTACTAGAAACGGGCACACACCGGTCAGCACCTCTTCCAAAAAAGAAAAACGCGCAACGCACCTGCGGCGTCCCCGGCATCGGCACACTCCCAATACTCTGCGGCCGCGGGCTCCCGACCCCAGGCGTCCTCGGCGGCCCCAACCCGCTCGTCGACCGCCCGCTCATCGGCGGCGGCCCGAACCCAGGCGTGCCAGGCTGCGAGCCGTATCCTCCTGCGGCGGGTGAGCCGGGGTAGCCTGCGGAGGTGGGTCAGCCATGTCATCTTTTTTCCCTACACGTTGGGGGTACGCACCAGCAGGCGAATACGGCGACTGCGGGAGCGGGAACGACCCCGACACGGGCGTGCCGCTGTACGGGCTCCCCGCCCCAGAGTAGGGCACGGGGCTGCCGGGCGCGCTTTCCATGACCCAGCCGTTGCCTTGCGGGATGAGCCGCCCGGAGCCGGGGCGCGCGCGTTTGGTGAGGGATGCGCCTGTGTGCTTGTCAGTAAAGTCGTTCTAATGAAAAGGGAGCATAAAAGGGAAGTGAAAAAAGGAAGAGAGAACGGGGAGGGCGTCGTAGGTCCCCGTATAGCCTGCACTCCGTCTTCCATCTGACTGTGCGGCAAGACTCGTCCACCCGGCGCGCCTAACGCGTACAGGCCCGCGCTTCGATACGCTGCACTCAGCACTCCGTCTTTATACGCCCGCCAAACGCCACACTGCCTGCACCCCATCTCCCTTCCCCACTCCCCACCTCCCTCCCGTCCTCCGCACCCTCCCCCTCCCACACTCCAAAGATAAAAAAGCCACCCAAGCGCACTCACCACTAAACTTCGTCTTCAGCGCACTCGCGCTCGCCACCGCCGGCGGGATCTCGTCGTCCGAGTTGTCCACGAACGCGGAGACCGCGGCGGTGGTGACCTTCAGGGCGTACCCCATGCAGACGAAGACGCCGCCGATGACGCCGACCATTCTGGGGGAGTAGATCAGTACTCGAGAGGACGAGGGGAAGAGAAAAGAGGGGATGAGAGGAGAAGAAGGTCGGATGCGATGAGAGGAGAAGGACATAAGCAAGTGGGAAAGGTGGGTAAAAGGGATACGATGGGAAGATACGACAGAAGGGGAGACGAGTAAGCCTCGATTGCCTCGGGGGCAATCGAAGGTAGGGTGGGACATAGGAATACGAGGGACACGGGGAATCTAGGAATACGATATTCGTAAAAACGAAAACAGCCCACCGACCTGATAATCAACTGCACGATCCCAATCGTCCTCTGGTGAATCGTGAGACTCATCGGGTCGAGATCGAACTTGAAGAAGATGCCCGGTGTGCCGGAGTGGTGGTCCAGCACGCGCGTGTAGTGCGTTACGCTGCGGAGCAGTTAGAATGGGTAAAGAATCACGCAACACATAACGCACCTATACTGATTCGTATGCAGCGGCGCCGAGCGCGGGGCGATGTACGTCGTGGGCACGACGTGCAGGAAGTATTGGTACGCGACGAAGGCTGGCGTACATGCCCTGAGTAACTGCTAGTTATCGAGAAGCACACGACTCACGATCATGCGTAATTTCGAGGGAGTTGTCGAGCGGCTGCGTGATGTCGGGGAAGTACGGCCCAAACGAAAACTCGGTGATGACGTGCGAGAGGTTCATCACTGTGCGCCCATTGGCATCAGTTCGCCCGACAGAAAGCAGAGAAAGCGCACGCACGGCTGTGATCTACGTGCTCGTGCGACGCATACCCGTGCCCCAGCGTCGTAATGTGCAGATTCGCCGTGACCTTCTTCACCTCCACCTGCCCGCTCACGCGGCACCCCCGCGCGTCCGGCTCGTGCTTGTACCTGGGCATATACGGCTCGGGGTTCGCCCACTGGAACATGGTGGAGAAGAAGCCGCGGCTGTTCCGCGACTGGGCGACGGCCTGGCGCGCGGAGAGCGCCTGGGAGTGCGCCTTGAGCGTCGTGGCCTGCCCGACATCGAACTTGGTGCCGTCGCGGCGGATGCCCGGGCCGCGGCCGCGGGTGTTGGAGAGGAAGAGGCGGTCGCCGACGGCGTCGCGCAGGTCGACGCTGATAACTGCGAGGTGCCAGCGCACATTAGCATTGGAATCGAAAATTAATGACAAGGCCGCACAAGAACACGGCATGGCAACCACCAAGTCGACATTAATGTTCATAAAGCTGCTCTCTTTGGTGTCGACGCTGAACTCGTGGTCCGGCCACCCAAAGACAAACTCGCCGATGTCGTTCAGCATTAGCAGGAACGTCACGAAGCCGACGAAGATGGTGAGGAATCCGCGCGAGTCCGAGCGCTGCTTGTACGCCGAGGGCACCTTCGGGAAGGCGTCGAACTGCGCTAGCGGGGCGGGGACGGCGGCGTCGAGCTTTTCGAGCAGCGAGGTTTCACTGCCGTCGAACGACATGATAGTGGTGGTGACCAGGAGAAAGAGGAATACGTGTCAGAAGGGTCACGTGGATCGGATAATTGTCGCAGTGGGGAGCCGGAGTAGACCAGCAGCCTGTTTTGAGATAAAGTCCGCAAGCAGCGCAGAGCACAGAAAGTGAAGAATAGACGCGGAAGAAAAGTGCAAAGAGTAGTAGCCTATCAGCGAGACATACACGGGCAAACAACCCATATCGTCCGGTTATGGTAATTATCGGACCTCCTATCAGCGCAGTTGCTATCGCGAATGCAAAGATACGGTGACAACTCGGAGGATCCATAGTCTAACCCTTGAGAAGAGTGGATCAACAAAAAAAGTTTGAATCCTCTGGAGCATAGATTTTCCGTAGAATCTCGGGTAGAATCCTGGCCAATCAGTGTTTGGCCTTGCGAAGCAGATTTCTCTTGACGTGTGGTCAGCCTCAGTATTAACACCACAGGCTCCACTTCATTGTCAGTTAGAACGACTCCACACAAGAAGTCAGAACTCCCGACTCGTGAAACAAATACCTGTGAAAAAAAAACATGCTAAAAAATTGCATGCACTCGAGGTGCACTCGATGTGCATTCTCGTGGCTTTGACGGGTCATCCATGGTATCCCGTGAGTTGGGAGGGCCGGCCTTCACAAATGTACTTCAAGTTGGTAGTTATTGCTTTTGATTTCACCTTGTCAGTGCCAAACGCTTTGCTGCTATTATAGAGGTAGGAAGATTTACCGTCGACCCAAGCTCTCAATTCCACCCAGGATTCTACATAGAGTCTACAGGAGAAGCCAGCTCAACGGATCCAATGCTCTCTAGTAGAGACATTTTGGACTCCCCTCACGATACGGCCCAATATGTACAGACTTCTCCGAGGTTGGATCATTGTAACCGTTGCAGTAACAAAGGAGGTTCGGATATGCATATGTGCATTGAACATAAGTATTGAGCTCCGCCTGGGACATGTCCAACCAACGAACAAATCAATCACTTGGGATCATGGTAGGCTCAAAGCCAGCCTGTATACGGGACAAGTCACTGTTATACTTATGGTCAATCTGAGTTTAAAATGTTTAAACACAGGGCTTTCCTCGTGGGGTAGTGCCTCAATTTCCGCCAGGGCGGTAGGTAGATAGTATAAGGACTGGGAACACAATATTCCAAGGAATGGCAATTCTGGGCCCAAAAATAATTCGGAAAAAATTCCGAAAATATATACGAAGCAGTTTTGGGGGAAAATAAGGGAAAAGGATGAGAAACGGAGAAGTTGGAAGGCGCAAAAAGGAATGGACGAATCCGGAATTGAACCGGACACCTCTCGCAAGCTTACGTAAATGTCAAGCAATGCTAAGCGAGCGTGATAACCAACTACAACCATACGCCCAGATGAAAGTACTGGTTGTGGTACCGTCCCGTGGAACAGGAAAGCACTGACCATCCCACAGAGTTGTTTATTCCGATGTCTTGCTCTCGAAAACTGTCGGCACGCAATCGAGCGATGTAACCAACTATGCCTTGCGCCCGCCTGATTTGTTGAGATCAAAGGGGGAAGCGAGATGAGAGACCAAGAGAAGCAGTTGTCTCTTGATAGTTGCTTGATAGTATAATATTGGTACTAAGTTCAAAGCACCGGTAAGTAGTCGTCCGTAATACCCGTATCCCAGATGCACGAGTCATCTTGAAGTTCAGATGCCAGTGAACGAACAAGATAACCAACTACGCCATATACCCTTTTTGATGGATGTAGGTGGAGCGGTTGAAGGTGAAATAGCAGACAGGAATGAAAAACCTGCCAGAATCGATGTCAGAATCGGCTCAGAATCGTTTTGGGCGAGATGTTTGACTTCCCCTGTTATTGAGAGCCCGAAAACATGACTGAAGCTCTAAGTTGTGTGGAGAGAATAACTTAAAGGCTTCCCAAAACCTTGGTTCAACTTGGCTTTCGTTTTCTGTCAACGTTAACTGAAACAATAGGTTTCACATCCATCTCCTACAATACCCTACAATACTGCGATCATCGGCCAATCACGTATGCTATCTTTACTCGGTACAGTTGGGAGCCAACACATAGCCCACTATTCCCTCGTCCGACCATCCTCCCGCCGCCAACCGACTCTCCCGCTCCGCCTCTGACACCGTATAGAAGTGCTCAGTCGCGGCGCTATTGTACAGCCTATAATACGGGATGCTCCCGCAGATTTGTGTCGGGTAGATATACGCTGTGATCCCGCCATCCCTATACCCAACTTCTAGCGCGAGATTGCGCTCCGTCACGGACGTGGTGTAAAGGTGATCGGAGATGGCGCCGTTCTCGACCAGGTATACTAGGTACAGCGGCGTGGTTGAGGTCTCTTGAGTAAGGAAGACGCGCGCGGAGACGCCGAGGAAGGTGAAACCCTGGGCGCCGACGAGGCTGGTGATAGCATTGACTCTGGTGTCGATAACGAAGTCATGGATTGGGCCGCCGGCTGTTGCGAACAGCGGGACGGCGTCGCTATTGTTACCGCAGGTGTCTGGCACCGGAACAATCGTACGAGCCTGGCGGGTTATGAAATAATTGGCGCACAGAGTCAGATGTAGGTGTACCTTCATATCCTGGAATACTCCAGAAGGGAGGGCATTGGATGCCGTGAACCAGAACAGTGCACTGAGAATGAACAAGAAAGATTGCATCGCGTCGAACTCGGGGCTCTGGTTTGTATGTGCTCTGCTGTCCTTGTTTAAATATCCCTCACAAGCGCCCAGGTACGTCTCCCGCCACTGAAGTTCATATGCCAGGCACAATTTCGTCTGTCTCAGGATGCCAGTAGGGGCCCGCGAAGGGCGGGATAGATGCTGTAGTTTAACACATTTCAATAAGCTACAGACAGGTGAGCGTTTAACTTGATAGCGGGGCGCTAATAAGCTGTTTGTTGATTTGGCAGAAAGAATGGCTTGCGGAATGGTTTCCGAAGTTCGTCAGACATTAGAAAATATTCTCGCTTCTGGTAGCGTCTGATGGTGTCTGGCTTCCTGGCGCTAGACTCACTAGATTGTGTTAGATCCACCCGACTCACCTACTAGATCCTCGGGTTTGAGATATCGCCTTCTGTTGGAGAAAAAGACCGTTGAATCCAGAGCCCGTGCTCAGCCCTTGTGATGATCCCAAGAAGTACCAGCCTGCCTATGACAACGCGCTCACCGCACTTGTTGCTCTTTGTAGGTAGGCTGGTCACGAGCCTACAGGGAGAGTTGTCTATCCATACTTATGACAAGACATGTCGTTGCTTCGCTCCGGCTTATGCGTGGCACTTGCCCAATGGTTGAAGTCTCCAAAATATCAATGTAGAAAATCAAGTGTGCATACATAGTATACGGTATATAAGATAAAAAAATGTATTATGTTGCACGGACGGAAAATGGTCGAGAATTGATGTTCGTCTGAAGCTTACGGGTCTGTTCGTTATTTAGATACCAGCACGACACGAATGGTAGAGAGTACGATAGTTCCTGCGGTACTCCCGACTGACAGACGTGATTGCGGCAACATTGGGAAGAGATTATTTGGTTGGGGCCGACTGAGAAGTTGGTTAGCATCGTACACAACAGTCCCTTATAATCACGCTGGGTGACACTCACCGAATTGGAGTGTCAGAGAAGAGGGCTTAGGGTTACTTGGTGCCCTGCGTCTACTCCGTCCCTCCATTCAGCGTCTGCGAGCGCTCAATAGCATATCGACACATTCATCGTGTGAAGCCCCAGCAGGCGCCCAACAGTTCCGATTTCAGTCTGTGATTCTCTGAATCCGTGACAGCGGCCCTGTTTACAGTTCGGAATTTACCTACACCAGTGCACCGTTGGTTTCCAAAATCAGCATTAGAACACAATTACCTCTATCCATCACTATTCACAGAAAGAGCAATTAGCGCCGTCGCGATACGTGCTGGCGGCTAGGTGGTGATAGAAAAGCACTGGCACAGAGGCACAGCGCGCATTGTGGAAAGTTGAATTACTGAGTAGGAAACATCGTCAGTCCTGCGCATGAGCGGAGTCACGGTGACTGAGTTCCAACTGATATTGTCCAAGCCACAGCTGAACGCAGTGCCTGACGTTTGGCGTTTTTCTCTCTCTCTTCTTACTAACCACTTATCAAACCTCATGTGCGTTCCTCCATTCACAGCGTCTTTGATGTTCCTATATAGGCGTTAATCGGCACACGCGCTCTAGGAAACTGAACAATTTTGAAAGTTGACAGCTTAAGTACTCGGTGCCGTGTGTCGGTTTCGTGCTTCCATTTGGCGTCTACGAGCGCTCAAGGATAGTACATCGAAGCATTCATCATGTCAAGCCCAAGCAGGCGCCCAACAAATCCGATTTCAGTCCATGTGTTCTGAATTGGCGGCCGTTGCCACATCGGAATTTCTTAGAGCAGCGCACCACTGATTCTCCAATCAACGGGTGAGCGGAACCACGCTCGTTCACAGAAATAGGATTTAGCTAGTCTCTCGTAGACAGAAACTTCAACATTCTGAAACTCGTACCTCGTTTGTTGAAGGATTTAGCGCCGCCAGGCCATGATAGTATGTGCTCTCCATTCGCCGCGGGAGTAAACGAAAACTGGTGGTAATAAAAAAGAACTGGCTAGATACTCGAAGGACAACTCTCTCGACGCTCCAGGCAGGTGACGGAAGACTTCCAACATCCATTTGCCGCTCATTGTCATCAACTGGGCTGGCGATACGGCCTAGTATGCAGCACGCCTTGCCGCGCTCTTATTAAGATTTTTTTTGCGAAACAGCAAACTATCCGTTCCATCTCAACTTTTTTCCTATTTGTAGCCCAATATATGCTTCCTTCCTGTAGGACCGTACCTTATACCCCATCCACTGTCCCCTCCCCTGAGCTCAAAAAAAAAAAAACATCCACGGCCTCGAAAATGCGTACGGTGATGAAACCTTTCCCGACAAATGTCCAAAAAAACCATTTTGCTGTCCTGTGTCTTGCATTTTAAAAACATTAGTGTGGTTGTCACATCTACGCCTCTAACCTTCCAAAGTATTAAGTTAAACAAAGCAATATTCATTGTGCTGTCCTCTGAACACCAGGTACAGCGGGTGGAATTCGCAAAAATAATGTATGTATAGGCCACTACTTGTAATTCCTCCGAATATTCTCAAGTGTGTGGGTGCATCGGGATTGTCTCTTCGAGGGCTATCTGACGATACAAAAATCAGACTTTTAGAGCGAGACCTCATACTGTAGCGAATTTCTTTTTCGGGAAATGGGTGTTGCGAAAACACGCTTTGACCAGTTGCCGGGTATAAATTCATCATTGTCTAGTGATACTGGAACTGGGCGAAAAACATAGGAAAGAGAGCCTAGAAGAACGTGCAATCGCTGGATTTGTAGACATCTTCGAATTCATGAATTTCTCCGAGCTCTCGCACTCAACGTTTGAACCAATAGAATGGACAACAGACACCAGCCAGAGCAATCCAACAACTTTTTATTAGCGACCCCAAAGTGCTGCGAGGCGTTCTCCAAGTCCAAGGGGGGATGATGCGATGCCGCATCAATAACTCTTGAGGCAATTCCGGTGGGTGGGGCCGGATCATGGCAAACGGTCAATGGCGGAAAAGGTAAAATCAGAGGTGGTGCCAGTACGCCTCCGCGTATGCTCCTAGGTTGTCGGGTTCCTCAACTAGTTTAAGTATCGATTGCTTCCTGCCGCGAGATCATCCGAGTCGTAATACAAACACTTCCATCGGAGCCTAAGTAATCCCAATAGGAAGGGATTGAATTCCGAATTTTCGAGAGCTTCAGCATCTGTAAGGGAGGAGTGCCTAGTCGGGCTGCGAACGAGCATGGCGTGGTGAAAGTTGTGGAGAAGGAGTTCGGAAGAGACCACGTGCCAAGCGGCCCAAGCCGCGGCGCGGCTTGTTTGCAGCGCCCACCATCTCGTTTGAATTCAACGGCCACCGCGACGGCCATGTCTCTCGCTTCTCTCAACGAAGATCTACTCGTTCTCGTCTGCCTTGAACTACTCATCATCACCGAAAGTAACCGGAAATTCGCTTATTACAGCCGAAATTTGTGGAATGTTCTTGATCTGATTGCCTAGAGAGGTTCATCTGGATATATTCTTGCCCTCCAGAATGAATTCGGTATCAAAAATTATGTGCACACCTTGTGTAGATCAATTGTTTCAAGCCCCGTTCATTTTCGCTATGTGTGTCAGGAATTGAGGTGTATGGCTTCGTCTGTAAGCAAGCATGGAGTTTTCAGTTGTCAGGACCATGCCTTGGGATATGCTGTACCTGATCCATGACTTGGAACTCCAGTAAAGTGAATGGATGCTCATAATCAACACATTTTCTGGGGAAAGTCATGCCTGCATGGAGCTTG